GCAGCCGCCGCAGGGTTTGTATAGCGGCAATCAGAGGGAGGCAATTTTAGATCCGCGGGAACAAGAGCTCTTTGTCCACATCCAGGGACTCTGCCGAGCTCTGCGAGCCCACTGCGCAGGGAGATAAAAACACTCCCTCGGGCTGCAGCTGCCCAGGCCCGGGAAGGGGGGCTTCAGCCTGGGGCCAGCTGCCTCCAGGGCGAGGTAAACTCCTTTGAACCTCAGCTGGGCACCTACTGTGTGCTGGGCGCTGTTGTTGTAAGAACGGGAAGCTCAGAGGAGCCAGGCTTTGCCCCAGGTCCCCCAGCTGATAGGTGTAGAGCTGGACTCCAAAGGGTCCCTGAATGGCCAGGTGGGCAGGGAGGGGGCGGGTGGGTAGGAACCACAGGGCCCAGGAGAGGTAACTCGAGCAGGTCTGAGGATTAGGTCACAGGGGGGCAATTTGTGGCTTGCTGGGTGGGGTCCAGGCCGGCACACCCACAGCTGTGGGGAGCGGAGCCCCCGCTGGAAATCAGCCATGTCATTTGGCCCCTCTTCGAAAGCCCAGTCCCCGCCACCAACTCCAGGGAGCCTTCGCTGCCAGCCCGAGAGCCTGCGGAATGAGGCTCGGGGCACAGAGTATGGCTAGGTGGTGGATTGAGTGGGGTTTTTAGTGACCAAGTATCATTCTCCCTTCGTTGGTACCCCCTCCTCTGATTTCCTTTTGGGGTGTTAATTCTCAGGCAGCGTGAGATGGGTGAGGTGGGACTCGCTCCTGGCCAGGTCGCTCCCTCTGGGAGCACTGACAGATGTGAAGGGCCCATGGGTGTGGATGCTCTGAGGGTGCGAACGGGGGCAGGCGGCCAGGCAGGAGGCCACGGCAGGGTGGTGGACGGTCCAGGACAGCAGCTGCAGGTCGAATAGATTTGAGAGAGCTGAGGGCACCAGCTGGCTGACTGGTGGAACGTGGGGAGCGAAGAGGCCTCACACCTCAGCCGGCCTCGACTTCTCCACACCCCTCGCCTCCTCCATGCACCAAGCCGCTCTGTGGTCTGACTTCCCGTCAGCAGTGACTCTGTCTGCCTGTCCCTCTCTGGCCCAGCCATCACCTCACCTGCATAACAAAAGTCCCCCACCCTGGCCCCCCAATGCTGCCCAAGCTCCCCATGGTAGCCAGCAGCCCTTCTGCACAAAGCTCTCCTGGGGTGCCTCACCTCACACTTGCATCCGCCTCCAGACCTCCCAGGCTCCCGCACCTTTCTCACCTCCCTGAGCTCTTCCCTGGCTCACGCTACTTCTGCCACAGGGCCTCTGTTTCCCTGGGGAAGTCTCCTGGTCAGCCCTTACTCAGGACCTTTGCGACTGCCATTCATCTACCTGGAATGGTCTTCTCCACATTGCCAGAGGCCTTCTCTGCCTTCTTAGAGACTCCCTCACCCCTCACCCCCCCACCCCACCATCCTATTAACCCCAAACTCCCAGGCCTCTCCGTGGCTCTGCTCCACTTTGACTTCAGCCAGATTGGCTAATCCCTTTTGCTGTGCTATATATTTTTAGATTTTAAGATGTGCACCCCCTCGCTCTCCCCCTAGTACACTCCTTGAGGCTGGGGTCACAGTGGTGCCCAGCAGTATTTGTGAAGGAAGTGGTTGGGTGATGGTGTCCTTTACTGCGACAGGAAGAGACCAGTGATGTCCGGGCAGAGGAATCCAGTTAGGAAACTGAGTTCGACGTGCCCCTGACAGACACCGGAAAGGCAGGCCTCGGGAGGCAGGCAGATGCACACAGACTCAAGCTTGCTCGTCTGTAAAACTGGGCCCAGCTCCCTCACTGGCTGTGGGGGGACAGGGGCCAGCTAACATAAAAGGGTGCACACAGTCAGCCTCCACAAAGGGTGGCTTCCTTCTCTCCTTCCCAAACAGCTACAACAGGCTCTCAGACATGCTGGAAGTTGCTGGAAGCCCATGAATGCTATGTGCAATTATACCACCCGGAGGGATACACTGCTCCATCATTTCCCCCTCACCCCGAGGGCCAGCTCCTGGGTCGCCCAGACCCCCCCACCCCTAGACAGAAGCTAGAGGACCAAAGGGGAGGCTGTTGAGGCGACGCCTCCCTCCCCCCTCCCTCATGTATTTCTCCCAATCACGAGAATCGCTCCTAACTCTCTTCTGGCCCTCATTTCCAGCCAGCCTCTCAGTGGTGTGGAGAGGATTTTTAAAAATAACTTTATTGATTTTACTTTTTAGAATATAAAAGCAATAGAAGCTCTTTGTTCGAGGAAAAAAAAAATAGATGCAGAAAAAGAGAAAATAAAACCAGCCCAAATCCTGCTTCCCAAAGATAATCATCATCTACATTTCCATGTTGGGCCTTCTCCTCCGTGTTTACATCCAAGTGGGCTGTGGGCAGGACTCCAGGGTGGATGGGGCAAGGTAGGGGCTGGGAGGCGGCCACTCCTCACCCCTGACCCGTCCGCATATTCATCTGCCCACCCCTGGACTAGCGAGGCTGTTCCAGTCGCTGCCCGGTCTGGCTGGAGCTCTCTAAGCCAACCCAGCCAGCCACCACCGCATTTACTCCGCAGGTTCACAGAAAGTGAGGGCCCTGGCATTAGCCCTGCATTGCAGATGAGGAAACTGAGGCCCGGGGAGGCAGAGTGACGTTGATCAGAATTCGGACGGGCGTCTCCTGGCCCCTCTGGGGCCCCTCAGACTGTGGTCCCGAGGGCCAGGGAGCCAGGAGCACACTGCAGTGCAGACACTGGGGCGTGCGCCCGGTCTCGTTCCAGCCTCCGCTGTCTGCTGGAAGGGGTCCCCTCTCCGTGCGCACGGAGCAGTCGGACGGGGGTCACTTGCCTGGGGTCATACAGCTGGGGTGGGAGGCGTGAGGCCTGAGCTCCGTGGGCCTTGTTCTTGAGGAGTGTTGCGGACTGCAGCAGGGTTGGGGGAGGCAGTGAAAGGGTGAACTATAGAAATTTTTTCAAGCACCCTGTTATCCCTCAGCTGGGTCCCCAGCTCAGCGTGACCCCCCTGGGCAGAGCTGACCACAGGGTGGGCTTCCCAGCAGCGCCACCTGCTGTCTGATTTGCTGCAGCTGCTGC